TTCATCTTATTATGTAACATGTTCATTATATGTCAGTATAATAAAATAATTACGAAAAAACAAAAAATTAGTTGTGTTAAAAAACCTATCAAATGTGGTCTCTATTTATAAATAATGAAAAATTATGAATTTTGGTATTTTTATTTTATTTTTTTTTAATATAAATAATTAATGATATTTTAATTTATGTAATATTTCTCATTTTTTAATTAAAAAAAGAAAAGTGGGAATTTGTACTACATTTTTTAAATTTTCTAGTTTTTGGAGTGAGGGAGCGCGTGCAAAACTGACTTGGCACACGATAGTAGTACTGGTTTAGCACAGGTCTCGGATTCTATTCTCACCGGGCCGAATGGTTGGTGTGCTTCAAAATTGAATTTAACCTTTATTCTATAATCCAATAAAATAATTATAAATAAATATAATAACAATAACAATAATAATAATATTTATTATAACAATAATAAAGCTTCGTACTTATCAAAAGAAGGTCTAGATTTCTAATTAATTAATTGAATTATTACATAATATATTTTACAAGTTGAAAATGATTGATCTTTAAACCTTAGCTCGTAAAACCCAGCCAGCAGCTTTGGTACCGGCAACGTACCAACTCCGATGAGCACCCTCACCTCCTCCTCCGTCCTCCTCCCGCCACCGCAATTCCGCCGCCGGCGAGACACCACTCCCTTATGCCCTAAAACCACCTTATTTATTCCATTCTCTCCTATCTCTCTCCAAACACGGCGAGGGCTCACTCTCCCCCCAATCTCAGCCTCTCTCAAGGTACGTTTTTTACAAGCCCACTTTATCGGGTACTATTTTTCTTCATAAAAAAGTTGTAGTCCTTTCATGGTGGGGGGTTAGGAGAATCGCTAATTTACTTCGTGTCATTTCGAGCATGTTGTTATGAGGAAAAAAGTTGTAATCTTTGCAGGAAAAAAATGGTGGGCTTTAAGAAATCGTGGACCGAGTTAACCAGTTTGAACCACTGGGTGGTCAGAGATTATTACAGACTCGTAAAATCAGTGAATGAGTTGGAGCCCTACATTCAAAAGCTTTCTGATGAACAGGTTTGATATGGTTTTACTGTGTCACAATTTTTTTTTTTCTTATTTTTTGGTATGGTAGTATTAGGAATGGTTTTTATATGTAATTTTTTTTTTTTCCCATCATTTTTGCTCTTGAAGTTGAGCTCGAGGACTGTTGTATTTCGCCAGCGGTTGGAACAGGGCGAGACTCTAGCTGATATTCAAGCTGGTGTGTTTATAACATGACTGGATTCGGACCGAGTTCTGGTCAAAGATTTTCGGTTTTTATATATGTAGAAGCTTTGTTTATGGGTTTACTATTACTACTTCCAGTTTGATTTGATGATATATTTATGGCTCGTTTAGATTCATTTTACTGTTTGCTTTCAAGATTCATTTTTTTTTTTCTTTCTGTAGAGGCTTTTGCTGTCGTTCGTGAAGCTGCTAGAAGGAAGCTTGGAATGCGTCATTTTGATGTTCAGGTTTTTTATTGACAAACACATGTCATCGTAATTCTTGCATGGGTGAACGACTAAGAGAATTTATATGTTGGCTTTCGGGTTATCAGATAACCAAGGATTTGGATATTTTTTCCCCATTCAGAAAAAAAATGTAGCTTATCAATAATTTACTTTTGTATTTTTTATATTTGTTTTTAGTTTGATAGTGTTTGGTGAAAGAAGTTTGATGTCAAGATGTCGTACTTGACTCCACACATCACGTTTCACTATTAGTGTAGTCTATTTGATGCTGCAACCATAATACTTTTCGTAACTTTATAATCTCATCCCTGGAAATTTCATATTGCAGATTATTGGCGGTGCCGTGCTTCATGATGGGTCGATTGCAGAAATGAAAACTGGAGAAGGGAAAACCTTAGTGTCGACTTTAGCAGCTTATCTCAATGCTCTGAGTGGAGAAGGTGTTCATGGTATGCGTGTCATTTATTTGTTCTTAGAGACATACTGATGTTACTAATTAGAGGTTGCTATTGTTGGTTCGGGCTACCCTTATGCTGTAGTTAGTTTTATTTTTGATACTCATACAATTCTATCACACACTTGACTTTGTCAGGGTTACAGCATAATCAATTGTGCATAGCATATATGATATCTTTCCTTTTCTTCCTTTCTTTCTTTTTGGTTTTGTGAAGTTTTGTGTTTTTAGGGCGCCAAACTCAAACATATTTTACTCCCTGTGGCAGTTGTTACAGTAAATGATTATCTTGCTCGGCGTGATGCTGAGTGGATGGGTCGTGTGCATCGTTTCCTAGGCCTCTCAGTTGGACTTATCCAAGTAATTCTTTTCTGAAAGCCCTTACTTTACGTGTGCAATGTTTTTTTTTTTATTAAAAGAAGATCATGTAGAAAACTTGCTCCTACAAATTATTTAGTACCTTTATATTTTAAGTTGTTCCAGAATTCACTTTGATTTATGCTAAATTCTATATTAAAAGTGAATCATGAAATAACCAGACATTTAACTGGTCTAACTGCAAAAGGATGACATCAGCAAGTGAATGTTCTTTCTTTTATTCCTTTTTTAATTTCTTTATCAGTGGATGTATATGTGTTGTAAAGACATGGCTTATCTCTAATGCGCTTACCTTGGCATCTGTAAAAGTGTAAATGAACTTTTGAATCTTTAAAATGTCAAACTTTAAGGGACAATAGTGATGCTTGGGCACATGTGACCAGATGGGATGTGAAAACTTGGGAATCTCTATGGTTATCGTATGTCCTAGAGGTTCATTTAAAATAACGTAAAAGAGGGCTTTCAGTTTATTTAGTGGACATCATATATCTAACACTAAATTGTTGCTATCTTGTGTTTTTTCTGAGTGTGCAGGGTGGAATGACACCCGAGAAGCGAAGATTGAACTATGGATGTGACATTACATACACCAATAATTCGGTAAGAATCTCAGCATATTGAATATGGCAACAAGTTACTAATTTATTTTTTATATATTTATTTATTTTCTGAATAAACTTATTGGGTGATTCTGTTTCGAGTTTGCATTTGCTGTCAATTTATAATTCAACTCCTTGCTTTCATAAAATCCTTTTGTTGTTTTTCTTTCTTTATGACCCAAGGAACTTGGCTTTGATTATTTGCGAGATAACATTTGTGGAAGCAGAGAACAACTTGTGATGAGGACCAACCTATTAGTTCTTATAGCTGCCTAGTCGGGTGTAGTCTCATAAATAATAACGACGATTTATTATACTATGAAACAGGTCAAAACCCTTCCATTTTGCGATTGTTGATGAAGTAGATTCAGTCCTCATCGATGAAGGACGAAATCCGTTGTTAATAAGTGATTCGGTAATTTGCATATTTTTGGCAATCTGCTACTAAGATGTTCAAGTGGCATTCTTATTTTCAAGCAATCTGATCTAACATTTTATTGGCAGTTTTTCACTCACTTTTTTGGATGCCTAAATAGTACTGAAAAATCCTATAAAACTGGAAAACATGTAGTTTAACATGAACATTTTCTTTAGATCCTAGTAATTGAACTAAGGTCATCTAAAAATGATTTCTCCTTCTCCTTCTTTTTTCTACTTATATTTAATTATTCCAGGCAACTAAAGATGCTGCACGATATCCAGTTGCTGCTAAAGTAGCTGAGTTGCTGATACAAGGGCTCGTGAGTCCACTTTTTGGGTCTTCACAAAAAAATCAAGGATCATACTTTAGAAATATATAGGATTCTTTTAACATTTTATATTTTCCTGACAGCATTACACGGTGGAGCTGAAAGATAATTCAGTGGAACTTACGGAGGAAGGTATACTACTGGCTGAGATGGCCTTAGAAACGAATGATTTGTGGGATGAGAATGATCCTTGGGCTAGGTGAACATTGAAGAAATTTATCATTTTTCAGTTTATATTTGCATGATCACTCTTGAACTAGTTCCTTTACATATTTATGGACGACGGATATCACCGTCTGATGCTCGACTTTTTTCTACATATTTTTTTTGATGTATTAAATATCCCATTATAATGTTTCAGGTTTGTTTTGAATGCAATAAAAGCTAAAGAATTCTACCGTCGGGATGTACAGTACATGATCCGAAATGATAAGGCTCTCATAATCAATGAGGTCAATAAAGCTATAAGTAGATTTCTGAAATTGTCACTCTGATAACCTATTTAATTGATTTGATGATTATTTATGGCAGTTGACTGGTAGGGTAGAAGAGAAAAGGCGATGGTCTGAGGGAATCCATCAGGCGGTGGAGGCCAAAGAAGGACTGAAAATTCAGGTGTCAGAGTTTCTACATTTTATTTTATTTCATTTTTTGTTAGATTTAAGCGGTAATTTGATTTTAGTTTATGCAATTCGTTTTACTTTCATGCTTTCTGAAATTTGTTAGGCTGATAGTGTTGTGATTGCTCAAATTACCTACCAATCACTGTTCAAACTATATCCGAAGCTTTCAGGGATGACTGGGACTGCAAAGACGGAGGTATTTTTCATTTCCGTGAAGCAAACTGGGTTTTCCAAATTTCGATGATGTTTGAAGGGTATAAATCATATATAAAGATCTTCCTTGTTTGTTACCGTAGGAGAAGGAATTTCTGAAGATGTTTAAGCTGCCAGTTATTGAAGTGCCCACGAATATGCCTAATATTCGTCAAGATTTTCCCTTGCAAGCATTTGCAGTAAGATAGTAAAGTCTATATATATATATATATGTGTGTGTGTGTGTGTGTGTGTGTATGTGTGTGTGTGTGCTATAACTCAACTTTTCCAATGCTAATCTTTTGACTTTTGTTCTGAATGGTGCGGGGTCTCAGTCTGCTCGAGGGAAATGGGAATATACTTGTGCAGAAATTCAGTACATGTTCCGCCTTGGCCGGCCTGTATTGGTTGGGACAACTAGGTATCTTCTGTCTATTCTCTTGCAAAATGGTGCACGTTAATGGACAACTCATCCAAAGTATGGCAAGTCAAAAGTGTGAAGCTGAAAATGTAGTCCTTAAGATGATGCACACAACATTGATTAACATTATTAAGATGTTATGGATGAGAACTTTGAGTTACCACATGATTTCTGTTATAATTCTAAAAGTTCCATATTGTAGAGGAGGGCATTTGTTAATTAAATATGATAAACTGGGCTTATTCTCTGTAATAGCAGGAAGAGGTATGTGTAGTTTTGGAAGGTGACTGGATTTTCTTTATAACTAAAAAGAAAATAGTGGTGGGCTATTTGTAACGGTTCTTTCTATTTATGCTATTTGCATTCACCTTTTTCTTCCTTAAAAATGGGGGCGAAAAAGAATATTGTTCATTGATGCTGCTTGCATTTAAAATTAAATATTGGTGGTTCTCATGATGTATTTTGGTTGTTGGAGCAGTGTTGAGAACTCCGAATACCTGTCTGCTTTATTGAGGGAGAAAAATATACCCCACAATGTCCTTAATGCTCGCCCCAAGGTTTATTGCATGACTAATGATCTTTGGATTCGTTTAATGTTTTGTGCTTCTATATTCATTTGGGAAGACATACAAAAATTTTATCTTCTGCAGTATGTCGCCAGAGAAGCCGATATTGTTGCCCAGGCAGGTCGAAAGTATGCAATTACTCTATCCACAAATATGGCCGGCAGGGGCACTGATATTATTTTAGGAGGAAACCCAAAGGTTGATGTTATTTTTCATATTCTTATCGTAAGTAGTGTATTTGGTAAATGTGGAATTTCTGAAAACATTATAACAATTTTGCATTCCTTCAGATGCTTGCTAAAGAGATTTTGGAGGACAATTTGTTTTCATCCCTCACAAACAATGTTCCTGATCCCGAATTTGATTCTGGGACATCTTCAGATAAGGTTTTAACTGATTTCACCCAGAGTAACAAAGAAAGCATAATATCTATATTATCTCCTCTCATTTGTTACTTTTATTTTGTTGACTTGCAGGTTTTATCCAAGGTTAATGTTGGACCATCATCAGCAGGCTTGCTTGCTAAGACTGCACTTATGTGTTAGTATCCTTACTCGACTACACAATATTTGCCTTCACGAGTTGGTTTCTTTCCTTGTTTGATTGGTACTTTTCTTTTCCTTTCTAACAAAAACCACTTTTTGTTAATAATACAGCAAAATATGTATGCAAAAGTGAGGGAACAAAGTGGACTTATGGTGAGGCAAGAAAATTGATATCGGAGTCTATTGAGCTCAGTCAATCAATGGAAACCTCAGAATTATGGAAGCTCGTTAATGAGCAGACAGAGATGTACCCTTTGGGCCCCAGTATAGCTCTTGCTTATCTATCGGTTCTAAAGGATTGTGAATCTCACTGTTTGAACGAAGGATTAGAGGTTAAGAGGCTCGGAGGTCTTCATGTGATCGGCACATCTCTACACGAGTCTAGGAGGATTGATAACCAGGCGAGCATTTCATTTGGATTGTAATTTTTTAAAATATAATGAGTGCATTAATTTGTTACTTTTATTATTGGAGACTTACATGTATTCCTTAATAATGACTCTTGATTCAGGAGAAAGTAAGGTATGGATAATTGCCTGGTTCGAGAACATTTCCTGTTTGTTGCTAAGATTTTCACTGATAGTTGCAGAGAACTATCCATGAAGTTCAACTGAGTTTATTTTGTGAAAATTACGATTTCCTTTAAAGCGTATGAGCAGTGCATTTCTTTGATAGTTTGATTTTTGTATTTACCTAAAAACAACCCTCTCTCAAGGTTTTGATTAAAGATGCATTTGTAATTTTGATTTCTTTCTTTGTTTTAACTTTTTTTTTTCCTTTCTTGCTTTCTTTATTATTTTTTCTTTTCACTTTTTTTTTTTAATATTAAGTTTGAGTGAAGTTCAAAGGTATTTTTCATGTTCCTATCGTGGGTCCTAGCCAGCTGATTTTGTGCTGTGAGAGGTCATGATTTGATTTGTCATACTTATAGAAGATTTGGTGGAACAGAGTTGTAATGTGTTATTTTCGATTTCTCAAATTCTCTCTCATTTAGTTTCTACGATGTTCTAAATAGGTTGTATCTGTTACTTATTGAATTTATTATTACTATTATCATTTTAGTCCATTGTAAATGGAGCTGGAAGAGTCAATGTTGACAATTCTTCTAGCATCGTGCAAATAATGGACTAGATCAAAATGGCTCAATTAAATTCTAGTGCTTCTTCGATTAGTGAAGTTTCTAGAAAAAAATATATCAAACGACGCAACGCACCTTGGGTCGCTATGGAAACAGCCTCCTTGTATAATTACAAGGGTAAGGTCTGCGTACAACTTACCCCCCAAACCCCAACCTGTTTGGGAATATATTGGGTATGTATCATGTATCATTACTATTATCATTTTCTTGAATAGCTACGAGGCAGAGCAGGAAGACAAGGTGATCCTGGTTCGACACGGTTTATGGTGAGGTACAGTCATTTTTTATTTTTCATTTTTGTCTTTTGTTGCTTGACGGATGGTACTTCACTCACTGTTATCAATGGTGGACGGTGGAAAATGGCATCCGGCCGAAATCCCTCCATTGCGGAGAACCGTCATCCTTCACAAATTTATAAAGCTACAGCCGACAAGATCCGTAATCAAATTTGTTTATTTTGCTTTGCTTCATTTCCTTTCATTTTGTACTTCTATTTACTGTTTATACTTTTTGTTTGGCTTGAATGTCATTGACCTTTCATTCCAGTTTCAAATTTATTTTTATTTGATGCCATGAACAATATTAGAAATCATGGTACTTGATTATTGATATTCATTCATTTGATTTTAATGCTTTTAAGTTTTAAGGACCACATGGTATGTCATATTCGAAGCTTTTAACTTCACTAGTAAGAACGTATCCGACCATAGTTTTCGAGAAACTAAAGATCCGGTAACTCAAATGTCAAAACTCGTTATTTGACTTCTCATTTTCTTTTCGACTTTTTTATCTTATGGAAATGTACACATAAAAATTAATGTAAATCAATAATGCAGTGAGGACTTAGCTTCAGAAACTTGCATAATTGAGCTGTAATTAATTTTTTGATGTGCACTGTCATTCACCTCATTACTAATTTAAATGTCCTGAACAGTTTACAGGATGAGATGTTTCAGAAGTTCAATTTTGACACGGAGTGGGCTGTAAACCTTATATCTCGAATGACAAATGATGAGGATATCCCGATAGAAGGTCAGTCAGTCGTGAAACAGGTAAGGTTTATTTATTTGTTGGCGCATGTCCTTTCCATTTATTTTTCTCTTTGGTTTACTTTTCTAAGAGTTCAGTTTAGCTAATCCACGATGGCAACTTTCAGCTATTGGGCCTGCAAATTAATGCTGAAAAATACTTCTTTGGTATAAGAAAGAGTCTCGTTGAGTTTGATGAAGTATTAGAGGTTTCATCTTACCTTCTAGCATCTTCTTCTTTTCGATTTGATTTCTATAACTAATTATTTTTGGCGAGCATGGTGAGAAATCTCAAATGGCTTGCAGTTGTATTTAAAAATGCCATATTTTCAGAAGTGTGATGCTGCTTTTTTTTAGTTTAATTCAATCTATGCAGTTATTGACCATGTTTTAAATCGATTCTTCAAGTTAATTACAAATAATACGGAATCAAATATCAAATGATTTTTTGAATGCGTAAAACCTTTTGTGGGGTTTTCTACAGTTACCCTAAACCTCAGGTGTGGGTTTTGTAACTTTACCTGATTCTTATTGGGTCATTTAAAGAATGTAATCACTCAACAATGTGGGTGTCTCTACTGACATTCTAATGGCAAGGCTTTCAGTTTACTTTTTCATCGTCTTATTAAAACTGAGATTGTGATGACAGGTGCAAAGAAAGCATGTCTATGATCTTCGACAATTAATTTTAACAGGCGATCCTGAGAGTTGCTCGCAGCACATTTATCAGTGAGCTATGTTTCACTTTCTGATATTTGGTTTTCTTCGTGTAGATTCTAACTTCTTTTTCTCTGTACTGCATAACATGTTTGTTGGGGCAAGTTGTCTCTAGTACTTAAACCAAATATCTCAGGTTAATAAAAAAAGAACAAAATTATGGTCAACCTTATGTAATGTTTTTATGTTTACTACTGCAACTATTTTGAGGTTGAGGAACACGAGTATATTGTTTGTTTACAGGTGTAAAGATTTATTTATTTATTTACTTATTTTTTTTTATTTTTTTTTTTTCTTCCATGAGCACACTAATTGATTGTCCTTTAGGTACATGCAAGCAGTGGTAACTGAAATAGTCCTCAAGAATGCAGATCGAGCAAAGGTGGCGACTTAGATGACATTTGATTTTTTGAGACACTGTATTATGGAAAAAATGTTTTAATTCTTAATCTTCCTGAAACAAATATTGTGTGCGTGTAACAGCATCCAAGCAGATGGAATTTGGTAAAGTTATTGAAAGAATTTATTGGAATTTCTGGCAACGCGTTAAAAGGTGCGTAATTTTAATATATTTGTCACTCTGTTTTTGTCCACTTGATATGTACTCTTTCACTCTTTTTTTTGTCCACCTTTTTGTTTTCCGGTTCAAATCTTTGACACATGCTGCACTATTTGGAGTTCTGCAGACTCTTTTGCAGGGTTTACTGAGGAACAACTTCTGCAATCACTCACCCGAGTCCATAGCTTAGAGTCTGTAGACATTGACAATTTTCACCTCCCAACTTTGCCTAAACCTCCGGATTCCTTTCGAGGCATCCAGATGAAGACCTTATCATTCAAGCGCTGGTTAACAATCTGTTCTGATGATTCAATAAAGTGCGTACTTTTCAATGACCCATATACTTTAATTTCTTGGGGACTTTTTTTTGTTCCTGATATTGATTATTGCTTTTGTGACTTCTATTAGAGAAGGGAGCTTCAGACAGACTGTTAATCTTCTTTGCAAGTACCTTGGAGATTTTTTGATAGCTTCGTATCTTGGTGTTGTTCAAGAATCGGGCTATGACAGTATTTACGTTAAGGAAATTGAGGTAACTTCATTTTATAGCACAACGTTTTATAAAAGTGAATGATGCTCATAAAAACCTTTTTTTGACCTAGTGTGGATTATTTGTTTGCTTTAGAAATTATTCCACCTGGTGTGGTATTGAATGAATGGTCATAAAATACGTGAGAATCTGATTAAGGGTGATTTAGATTTATGATTATGCATTGATATTGACTTACTACACAAAGTGATTTTCTGCATATAGAGAGCGGTTATCCTGCAAACAATCGATTGCTTTTGGAGGGACCACCTTGTGAATATGAACAGACTTAGTTCGGCGGTATTTACTTTCACACTTTATGTTTGTTATCGTCTTCTCTATTGGCCATCGAAGTACATAAAATTTTGATTTTTTGCCACTGTGTGATGTTTGTAGGTGAATGTAAGAAGCTTTGGGCATAGGAATCCGCTCGAGGAATATAAAGTTGATGGGTGTCGATTTTTCATTTCTATGTTGAGTGCCACACGTCGGGTGACCGTGGAGTCCCTATTACGGTACTGGACGTCCCCTATGGAGATTCCCGAACTTTAAGTATAATGGTACAAGCATATACTCCCTCCTATTTTTTTTTTTTTTAAAATGTCATTTTAGCTTTATCAACTATTAACTAAATAAATGTCGTTTTGGTACATATTTTTCCATCATTTAGCTAATAAATACATCACGTCTTTTCATAATCACTCTTCATCTTTTTTTTTTTTCAAAACATTCATCTCTATCTTCATTAAATAAGGTTATTATTGACAAAAAAATTATTCTTAATAAATGTGCAACATCCCAAAACGACATCTATTTAAAATAGGAGGTAGTACCATTTTTCAAGCTAAAGGTACAACTTACGAGTAGCTTGTCTTGTTCTCGTGCTGATTCAAACTTGTGTATTGGTGAAATCTGAGTTACTATTTCTTGCTCAAACTTTAAACATTTGCAATGAAGAGTTGGATATAAATTAATCAGAAGCTGTTTCGAAAATAGAACATGAAATCCAAGTATGACCTCAAAATGTTCTAATGGCTGAGGTTAAACTTTTTGAAGTAAAATTTTTGGTATTCTGGTAACTAGCACTATTCATGAAGTCGTATAATTGCATAACTATCCATAAGCTTTATTCTATTTAAATGTAATTACAGTCGTCGTTTAAAATTTACAAAATTTACCTCCTTATCACATGTCATAGAACTATTTTATACTTTTGAGGATAACTCTTTGTATTGAATGATGCTAAACATCAAGGGTTAGTATTCTCTTTACTAAAGAATTTTTTACTGTTGTATTGGACAGGTTCTGTTAGTGATTCCCACAATCTAAGTCGAGATAAAAAAAATGTTCAACAGCTTTGGGTAAATGATTGTATGGAACGACACACAAAAGCTGCTGACGTTTTGGTTGACTCGTAGTCTCAGGCCAGCTTGAATAATGTTGAAAATGCAAGTTCTCAGCCCTACCATCTTTAACAGCTCGGGTTTCTGATCGTGATATGGTTTAAACAGGTACGTTAGTGACCGTATAGTAAGATTGTCAACATCTCAAAAGTCGTAAATTTTAATTCAAATATGACAGGGGAAACCAA